GAGGCGGGAGTTGCTGAGGGAAGACGCGCGCTGATTGGCTGGCTCGGAGGGCGGGAAGAAGGAGGTGCTGAGGGGAGACGCGCGCTGATTGGTTGACACGGAGGGAGGAAAGAAGGAAGTGCTGAGGGGAGACGCGCGGTGATTGGTTGCCTTGGAGGGCGGGAAGAAGGAGGTGCTGAGGGGAGACGCGCGCTGATTGGTTGGTTCGGAGGGCGGGAAGAAAGGCTCTGAGGGGAGACGTGCAGTGATTGGTTAGTTCGAAGGGCGGGAAGAAAGACTCTGAGGGGAGTCGCGCGCTGATTGGTTGTCTCCGAGGGCGGGAAGAAGGAGGTGCTGAGGGGAGACGCGCGCTGATTGGTTGGTTCGGAGGGCGGGAAGAAAGGCTCTGAGGGGAGTCGCGCGCTGATTGGTTGGTTCGGAGGGCGGGAAGAAAGACTCTGAGGGGAGTCGCGCGCTGATTGGTTGTCTCGGAGGGCGGGAAGAAGGAGGTGCTGAGGGAAGACGCGCGGTGATTGGTTGGTTCGGAGGGCGGGAGGAAAGACTCTGAGGGGAGTCGCGCGCTGATTGGTTGACTCGGAGGGCGGGAAGAAGGAGGTGCTGAGGGGAGTCGCGCGGTGATTGGTTGGTTCGGAGGGCGGGAAGAAAGGCTCTGAGGAGAGACGTGCAGTGATTGGTTACTTCGAAGAGCGGGAAGAAAGGCTCTGAGGGGAGTCCCGCGCGCTGATTGGTTGACTCGGAGGGCGGGAAGGAGGAGGTGCTGAGGGGAGTCGCGCGCTGATTGGTTATCTCGGAGGGCGGGAAGGAGGAGGTGCTGAGGGTAGACGCGCGGTGATTGGTTGTCTCGGAGAGCGGGAAGAAGGAGGTGCTGAGGGGATTCACGCGCTGATTGGTTGACTCGGAGGGCGGGAAGAAGGAGGTGCTGAGGGGAGACGTTCGCTCATTGGTTGATTAGGAGGGCGGGAAGGAGGTGCTGAAAGGAGACGCGTGGTGATTGGTTGGCTCGGAGGGCGGGAAGAAAGATGTTCTGAGGGGAGACGTGCAGTGATTGGTTGACTCGGAGGGCGGGAAGAAGGAGGTGCTGAGGGGAGACGTGCGCTGATTGGTTGGATCGAAGGGCGGGAAGAAGGAGGTGTAGGGGAGACGTGCGGTGATTGGTTGGTTCGGAGGGCGGGAAGAAAGGCTCTGAGGAGAGACGTGCAGTGATTGGTTGACTCGGAGGGCGGGAAGAAGGAGGTGCTGAGGGGAGACGCACGCTGATTGGTTGGTTTTGGAGAGGAAGCGCAGTGATTGGCTGATAAAAGCGCGGGATTTTTAAGTGAATATTTCTGGGTTTTGAGGGGAAAATTCCTGAAACTTTTTTGGGAAACATTCCCGGGTTTTGGAGGGGAAACATTCCTGATTTTCTTGGGGAAAATTCCCGCGGTTTTTTCTAAAAAATTCCTGGATTTTTTGACCACAAATAAACCCAAATAATCCCTAAATAAAACGCCAAAAAAACCCAAAAATGGCAAATAAACCCAAGGACACCTAAATAAACCCCAATTACACACACATAAACCAAAATAACCCCAAATCAACCAGAGTAACCCTAAAAGAACCCCAAGTAAACCCAAATAACCCCCAAAAACCCAATTAATCCCCAAATATGGGCAATTAACCCAAAATAACCCCCAAATACAGCCCAATAAAAAAATCCTACATAAACCCAAATAACTACAAATAGCCCCAAATCAACCAATTTAAACTGGTAAAAACTCTAAATAATCCCTAAAATCCCCTGAATAAATCAAAATAAAACCCATATAAAGCCAAAAAAACCCCAAATAAACACAAAAAAACCAAATTGAACCCAAAACAAGCCCAACTAATCCTCAAATAAATCCCAAAAAAACCCTAAATAAACTCAAATGAATCCAAGCAAACCCCAAATAACCCC